GGCCCTCTGACCACCACCAGTAGGACAGGTGAAGTGTCTTGCCCAAGGACACAACGACCGAGACTGTCGGAGCCGGGGCTCGAACCGACAACCTTCCAATTACAATTCGAACTGCCAACTCTTGAGCTACGATCGCCCCAGTGGTGTCAAACACAAGGCCCGGGGACCACAATTGGCCCAGCAGAAACTCCATCCAGTCCACTGGACAGCTTTGAAAAATGTGGGGCATAAATTTCAAACTTCTAGCTGTAATTTAATTTAATATGTTTCACAGTTTTTCCTCCTTATAATTTCCCAACTCTCCCAAATCCAGTTTCACACGGCACTGAAGTGATTAAGGGTTAGATAAAGAATTAAGCAGCAGAAAGGTTTCACAATTAAATGTAGACTTTTTTTGTTTGTTTGTTTTGTTTTTAAAGTGGGTCCACATTAAAACAGGACATTTTCTGCAAGTTAACAAAACTGTGTTTCGTGATTAGAGGACATTTAGGGAAATGAGCTACCAAAGTTTTACACCTTGTGCTTAAATTTTATGACATCAAAGAGTTGTCCCTACAGATTTTTCATTCACTATAGTGGCATTCCTTTATCATGTAATAAAACTCTTATATTAGAATATCTAAGAGATTAAATATGTAGGAAAACGTCTTTACAGCGAGATAAAATAGTTTCACTGGTCTGGCCCTCTTCAAGTCAATGTGGGCCCACAATGTAAATGAGTTTGACATCCTTAATCTAGACAGTTTGGGGTACGCTATATTCTTCCAGACCAGTAAAACTCTGGATTAAGGACAGAGTCATGTTCCTCTAAGTCGATATTTGAGTAAGTGTGGGGTTCGACTGTGACAGTGTTTCCTCCCTTCTCTGCTCTAGGTTGTGAGTCACTGTTGTCAGCTGCTAACGACAGTGTTTCAGGCTCAGCCCGGTGTGGCCATCCCATACATCCAGGCCCTTGGTCCGACATTGATTCGATTCCTCCAGGTATCCAACCAAACTTATTTACCATACATGAGTATCTGAGTTACTTTATGTTCATTAATATTATATATATTATTTTTTGTAATATGTTTAATTTTCTTTCTGTACTGATGCTTGCATGTACACTAAGGGAAAATGAAATAAAAACCTATATGATCAGTAGAAGGCATTGTTCAGGTGATTTCAGCATATATTTGTCTGCTTTCTCCTCAGAAGGTGGAGCGGAGTCGTCCTCAAACTCCACAGGAGCTGCTTGGAGTCTTGGAGGGGATCCGAGCGATGGAGGCTTTGATCCAGGCAGCTGATGAATCACAGTGTGAGTAGAGTCTGTAGCAGAGACATGGTGGAGTCAGGAGATGATAGAATGGAAGAAGGTAAAGCAAGGCTCTCTGTCCAAAGGAGGATAGTGGTGGAGTGCAGCAGCCTGATTTGTGCTCTAAATGTGCTAATCCTTCTCAGTATTTACTGCTCGCATATCTGATGTGTTCTCCTTCCTTTCCTGATTAACCAGCATGCAGCCCTTCACAACCACGCACTGAAGTGAGAAGCTGTGAAATGTTAGTTTGGTTAACCAGTGATTCAAATTTGGCTGTAGGTGTGAGTGAGAGATGAATGTGTCTGCTGTGAGAACTTAAAGGTGACTAAATTACTGGTTTAAACACTCTGGGTTGATACTCCCTGTCCAAATATGACTGAGCACGCTGCCAGCAGGAAAGACAACGTAAACGAGACCTTGTGACTACAGTCAAGCCAATAAAAATAAAAAAAACACTAAAATGTTATACACAAGTAGATAAATTCAAGTTACATTCAATTATTTTGTTTAAAGGTCAGTGATTTCAGCTGTTCTTGCTTCCTTGAGCAAAGGTACAAGTCCATCCAGCTTTTGCTGAGATATTTAACAGATAAAACATTCTCCCCCATCCGAAGCTTGTTCCCATGTTTTGTGTATTTTGCCCTTCAGGTCCTCAGCTGGTGGCAGTCTTGCTGCCCCTCCTCATCTCCTTTCTCCTGGATGAAAATGCCCTTAGCTCTGCTCCCCTGCCATCCAGGTCTCTTCATGATTCGGCACTCAAGGATCTGATGCGCTTTGGCCCTCAGCACCCAGCTGTCTTCAGGTTGGTAGTGATGTGTGCAGTTAATTTGTTGCATACGGGTCTGGTTTGTATGAAACGCTCCTGCTGCTCTCAGTGGACTGAACTGTACAAGCAACCTTTTTAGCTCTTTCATAATTTGTTTTTGTATGTAGATTACATGTTGATTTCTGGGATTCATGAGTATTTTATTTTCCTGCTCTTCTCCTCGGTAAGAAAAAAGTTTACAATAATGTGATTATAGGCTGTAGGAAAAAGCATTGTATGACTCCTCTCTGAGGTTTTAGGATTTTATTGATCTCCAGGAACTTTTTGATGATTTTCATATAGTTCAAAATCATTTCCACTGTAGTTTCACCCTACCTATGAAGGAGAGATTGGCAGTCTCCATCAGTAATTAAATCATGTCATGCAGAGCAAAGCCATGTTTTGTCATGCTGCTTTTAATGTTTTCAAAAGACAAAGGATCAGTGAATATGAAGCAGGTGGTTATATATTTTCCTTCCTCCTACAGGTCACTCATCACAACATCGCCTCACCTGAAGTCTCGTCTTCAAGCTGCCATCAAAGGAAATCAGGAGAGTTTAAATATTAAAGCTAGCAGTGCTAACCCAGCTGCCCACAGCACTGGGAAGTCCTCTCCCAGCATCACGCTCAAAACAAAGTTCCTGTGAGGCAGCCAAGCTTAGATCTGCCACACAGAGACTGTCTCTGGAGTTTAACGTCACTAACACACTGTGGTACTTTGATTGTTCTGAGGGACATTCTGACTGGTTCTGTGGTACACCATATTGAAAGAGTGATAGCAGACCAAAAAAAATTCTGTGAGTTCACTTCCTGTCTCATTTTGGAAAAAAGAAAAAAAAAAAACTAGATCGAATTTTGAATTTTTTTTTTCTTTTACTTTCTCCAGCACACTGCATGCCACCTCACATTGACGCTTACCTTTATTATATCATGTGAAAAAATCAATTCTGCCAGGTTGGCATGTTATATCACACGAACTGTGCATCATACATACGTCATACATTCCTGTTGATCAAATCACGGACTGACTCCTCCCCAGGACACATGAGCTTCAGTTCATATCTACGAGAATGAACTTGAAGAGTTCAAACTCAGCTTCAAAACGAACTGAGGCCGGTGTCAGTAATTTGGTGAATGATCAACATGATGGCTAACAATATCAAAAAGAGTCTTTTTTTTGTGTGAAACCGACTGAACTTTATTCACCTTGAAAAGAAGGGAATGTGATTAAATTGTATTCAGATAGAGCTGTGTGCAAACAAGAGAAGGAACCAGTTTCATTGGTTCTGGCATGTGACACGGACGCCTCCTAGATGCTTCCTGAATGAGCTGTTTTGGGTGTATCCAACAGGTAGGAGACCCAGAGTCACACACGAGAAATGTCAGGTAGTCAGATTTTCCTCAGTTCCTGACTAAGTAACATGAACAGCTATAATAAGAGCTTTTAGAGCTAAAGGGAAGATGCCTTGGTGCTTCCTTTATTATCCCCTTTAGTAGAGGATACATTCTGAAAGGAGAGGAGATAAATCCTGCCCAGATTTCATTCGTCAGATCATTTATAAAAACAATCAACATAAGTTGCGCACATCAGGTTAATAGTGCCTTACGCCGCTCTTATGTCCTAAACCATCAATGATAGGCTGTTAAACCCACAGCTGAACTGTGAACATTACACTGCTGTGATCAGATTTGCTTTCTTGAGGTGTTGCCACGGGAACAATTATTTGTACTATAAAGTTTTATAAATAAGAATTATGAGCTATATCTTAATGATCAAATCGTATTAAAGGTTTACTACAATTCATTTTGTATTAAGTGTTGCTGTATTGCAACTTCTTGGGTTATTAAGCATTAATTTGAATTAAGTCACAGCATGCCATCATAAAGGTGGGACTTTAACTGATCAACCCTGGGATACCTGGGTCATCAGTTCAGTCTTTTGAGTTAAATTTTTCACCTCTTGCATATGACCTCAATCCAATCTCTATCGTCAAGACTGGGACAATAACAAAAAGTGACATAACTGCTCCTGTATATTGTTAGTATCCCTTTCTATTTGCCCGTGTGTTTGCTTAACCATTAAAGCCACTACCTGGTGTTTTAAAACTACCAACAGCAATTAGCGTGCATGTCCTAAAAGGCAACATTCAGTTGCTTGAGGTTTTTATTTTTTTTTCCAAGTATAAGTTTTGCACACTTGCCAATTTCACTTTGTTATTTTTTCATTTGATTTTTTATGAACCCATTCATGATTTTTTTTTTCAAAGACATTGTGCTAGGATTGATCACATGTCATTTTTCTGCTGCTCTGAGCACCACATACATTTTATTCAAGCGAAAGCAGACACATCTACAGTAGATATTTCCAAATCTAAGCAATCTAGATGAGGAAACAGCACTGCAGACCACAGGAAAACACATACTTGTGATTTTTGAGGTTAACTGCCCCTTTAACAACACTACACTAACAGTTTAATGTTTTTATGAGTGTATTGTTATCTACAGTAAAAAGCATTGACTGGTTACTTAAACCTAAATCTCATCAGTTTGTTTAAAAAGAAAAAAGTCTTGACTTTGTAAATGTAAATGTTGTCCTCTTAACATGATTTTCTTGAATGATGATGGGTAACACTAAAGTACTGACCAGCAATAAGTGTACAAGGCAGCAGAGATTGAGTGTCTGTCTCTGTCCTGGCCATCTCCTTTGTGCAGTGTACAGGTGTGAACTGAATGAACAAGTAGGTACAGGTAAATGTTCTGAACATGTACAAATAAACTCTTTAAATTCATCTCTTTGTTTTCTTCAGGTTTTTATGGTTTAGAAAACTGACTATGAACGGTTTAAAGATGGTAAATGTAAACCTTCCAAATGACCATGTCCTCCAAAGAACTGAGTCATGAATTCAATCTAAATTTGAGTACAGCTCAGACATTTGGTAAAAGGACCACAGCATAATTCAATCACCCTGACCCTACCAGCAGAAATAACTGTTAAAGAAGGTGCATTTCAAGATCTACATCCTAATCATCGGAGTTCAAAGGTACGGTAGTAGTAAGGCAATATATCTTACGGTTAAGAAATACCATTGCTTTTCCAATAGATAAACTAAACCCAGCAGACAGAACAAGTAGAATGTACATAGTGCAATGCATAAAATGTGACCAAATATGACCAAATGCATATTTTAAAAAAGGTAAAAACATCTGAAAATAAATACTGGAATTTTCTACATGATACATTTAAACCAAAATATAAAGTAATGTTACACATATAACAAGTCAATTTACAAAAGAACCAAAAACAATTACGATTTACTAAATGTGGTTAAAAACAGCACAGCAAATATCAGATGACATTAAAGTGGCTCTGTGTAAAGTGTAATAGCGCAGCTTTGAAATAAAAAGTTAACTCAAAGGTGATTCTCTTTCAAGTTGGCTCTCTTTACCGCTTTTTGTGTAGCCCATTTAATTAACAACTTACTGATAACGTCTTATTTGATTTACCTGCAGCATGGCCTCTTCATCTTTCCCTCCTGCGCTTTCCTGCTCAGTGTGTTTAGTACCTCCTCTCTGGAGCTCTGGAGACCCAGTGTTGGGCCAAAAAGTGATTTCTGATGTCATTATGTGTTTTTAACGTCTACTGTCTTTACTAATATTAGTAAATACACTCTAGTGAACATGATTCATGAAGGGATTGTAGATCAAATTAAAAAGAATACCTGTTTTTGAAGTATCTTCATGACTCTGCATATTTGTACCTATATTGTCGTTAGTCCAGTCCTTTTTGGTCACTTCAAATAATTTTATAGAACTACTATCATCTAGTTTTAATGTCAGTAGCACATTGTACCAGGATAAATTGGTCTCTTTGACAAAAACTGGTTGCAACAGCTATTTTATGATAGGAATGCTTTTACTGGCTCCAAATTACTTGACATTCTTCCTGAGAGATATGATTGATCTGTTTTTGACAGAATTTAGGTCAACAAGTAATTTTAACAGCTTAAATTCCTGCAATCACTTTTTGAACCGGCTTCGCACCCTTGAAAAACCCGTAGCTAGCCAGGCCCCTGTAGCTGGAGTAGCCAAAGGTAGCGTAGCCCCGTTGGCTCTACCCCAGCAGATTGTCCCAAGGGAAAACAGGATGGCTAGGTAACAGTGAGGAGGAAGCGTAGTTGTAAACAAAAGCTCATGGTACACCACCAACCCCTTCCTGTGTATAATCGGTTTTCCCCATACCGCAACCCCCGCCGTGGAACAAAGATTTGGGAGACAGGCACCCTCTCTACTTTAAGATTAGGTTCTTGTTTGATAAAGCATATAATTAAGGTTGGATCAGGTGACCCTGAATCCTCCCTTAGTTATGATGCAATAGGTCTAAGGTGCTGGGGGATTCCCATGATGCATTGAGTGCTTCTACTTCAGTCACCTTTTTCACTCACTATGTATTTATACACCTCTCTGCATTTAATTACATGTTATTATTAATCCCTGTCTCTCTTCCACAGCATGTCTTTGTCATGTCTTCATTTACTCACCCCCAACCTGGCGCGGCAGATGGCCGCCCCTCCCTGAACCTGGTTCTGCTGGAGGTTTCTTCATGTTAAAAGGGAGTTTTTCCTTCCCACTCTCACCAAAGCACTTGCTTATAGAGAGTCATATAATTGTTGGGGTTTTCTTTGTATTTTTGTAAGGTTTTTACCTTACAATATAAAGTGCCTTGATTTCTATAGTGCCTTGTGATTCCATCCTGCCTTCCTGTAGGCATGTTTGTCTTTTATTGTCTTATGTACATACAGAGCACCTAAAACTTAAGTAATGCCTATGATAATTGCAAATATGCAGTGATTAGGGAAAAGGGAGAGCCCAGACACCCCTTGGAGGAAGCTAATTTCAATCATTCCTTCTGTCCCTACCCACACGTTGAACCATAGATAAGAGTCTGAAGGTGTCTTAACTGCTAAAATGACACCTCCACTTTCAGTTCTCTTGACCACAAAAACCTGGTATAAAATCCAAATTACAGCAGGTTACAAAAGTAACTATCCCAGAGCAATCTGGAGGTCACAAGCTAATGAAGACAACAGAAGCACATTATCTGCAAAAAACAAAGATGTTTTTCAACAAAGCCCACCAAATTGGAGACTCCATCATCTGGCTATGTCTAAATATTCTGTTCATAAAAACTATGAATCTGTGACAAAGGGCAGCCCTGGCAGAAACCAACACACACTGGAAATGAATCTAACTTACTGTACTCAATACAAACCAAGCTCTTGCTGCAGTTGTACAGGGACTGAATGGCCAGTAACAACTGGCCAGACATTCCATACTCCCTAAATACCTCACACAGGATGTCCTGAGATATGCAGTCAAATAGATTTTCCAGGTCCACAAAAAGCATGCAGACTGATTGGACAATTTTCTATGCACACTTTAGTAATGAATTGGTGCAATATAATCTAAGCCACCACACGACCTCCATGCAACATTGCAGAGACATGTCAGCTAGGGTAACCCCACAACATCCAGGGTGAATCTCATCCAGCCCAGCTACCCTACCACGGAGCAGTTGTTCAACTCAATCAGTGACCTTACCTCAAGTGATAAGCGAGTCATCCCCCTCAGCCTCACTCTTCTTCCATACAGAAAACGTGACAGTGGGATTGAGGTATTCCCTAAGTGTTCCTTCCACTGCCTTACCTATGTCCTCAGTTGAGGTCAGTGACATCCCACCACCGCTTTGAGATGAAAAGTCTTGTTCAGTGGTCTAACCAACTCCTCCCACACCCGAGTTTTTGGGTCAGCTACACTCCGCTTGACCTGCTGGTCTGTCAGCTGCTTCTGGAGTCCCACAGGCTAACCAAGCATGATAAGACTTCTTTTTCAACCTGATAGCTCCCTTGAACTTCTGGTTCTGGGATTACTGGCACAACAGGCACCAATGTCCTTGCAGTCACAGCATTTTGCAGTTGCCTCAACAATACAGATGCAGAACATGGTCCACTCAGACTCGCTGTCCCCACCCTCCCTCAGAATGCAATTGAAGTCTTGTCAGAGCTGGGAATTGAAGATCTGGAGGACTGGGGCTTCTGCCAGATGTCCCCAATGCTTGCTCAATATACGTTTGAGTATGCCATGTCTGGCCAGCATCTTCCCCCGCCACCTGATCCAATTTACCACCAGGTGGTGATCAGTTGACAGCGTAGAAGCTCTTTTTACTCAAGTGTCCAAGACATATGGCCACAGATCTGTTGCCATGTGAACTTATGAACAGCTCAAACATGGTGTCTGTCATGAACAAACTTTGGAAAATATAGGAAAATATATTGGCCCTTACAGCTAGAATACCTATGAATATTTATACTTACTTTTATATATTTACTTTTACTTTTCTATTTATACTTCTGCTTTACTTTTATATATTTATACTTCTGCATTACATCAACACCTTAGTTAAGTTGTAACTGCAAACCCTTCTTATGTGTATCTCTAGTAATCTAACTATACATGGCTGTTGATGCAGGGACAGTGGCAAACGGCCACTTGCACATGCTACTTCGTGGCTCTACATAAGTACAAATTAAACTTTAAGGGAGATGTGGGAGCTGTTTGGGGACACCTGTAAATTTAAATCCTCGTCGTGCTAATATTCAGTGTGTTATATATTATTTTTTAAAATTATATTTATGTGAGAGCTCGTGATTTACAAGTCGTGATATATACATTTTTGTGAATAATTAAGAATATTAATGAAAAAATGAAGCGAGTAGCTTTTGAACATTGGCATTTCCGAGGCAGATAGTGACCTCTGAAGGCAGCGGGCTCAATCGCCTCAGCTCTCCATTTCAGTCCGGTCTGTTGTGTTTTGCGGGCCGCCGTCCACTCTGACCTCTTAAGACTCTTTGAGAAGAAATGGAAACACCTTGACGTAACTCCCGACACAAACGGCTCTATACCCTGTATTTGAACCCAGAAGAATTATTCATACACTTGTCGATCGTCTCTCTGTCGAAAAGAGCAAAAACGGTGAGTGAATCGTTCTGCTGGTGACCTGAAGAGCGAGGCCGTTGTCGCTTGAGTTTTGTGTCCGCTGTTTCATCGTGGCCTCTCGGCTCTCGTGGAACTCGAGTCCGGTGGTTTCCCTTTAGAAGTCCGAGGCCGCATGTATAGTTGGTTGACAAAGCAACCATAAAATACAGATATAAATGATTTGAATAGTTAAAAAAATATTTTTGGACCAGACGCTTCAGTTGTTAGTAGGGAGAAAGCTTTTTTGTTGTTAAAGTCAGCTTGCTTTTGAAAGCTAACGTGGTGCTAAGGCTATCTAATCGGCTAACATTAGCCGGCTTTCCGGGTTTCGGTACATGAAATTACTTTTATATTGATCGACAAACAATTGTATGACTTAATTGAAAGCAGCCGAGTCTGAGGTTGGGGGATTATGGAGATTTCTTTAAGTTTTATTTCGTTTTATCGGCCTGAAATCGGCCAATGCTTTACATTAGCAAATCTGGAAGTGAAGCTACTACTCGACTATAAAACTGTATGTACCCAACTGGACAGCTAACTCTAAGGCTTATCGCTTCCAATAACATAGCTGTTCTATATCTCTTAAGTTTGTGCGAATAGTTCGGCTCCGTATGGCTCGTCAAATAATAAAAATTGCGGTCATACGATTAGCTCTCTCGGATATGGCTGAACGTGTTTGTTTTCCATTAGTCATAACAAAGCTTTCTTTGCCCGACTTTTTAACATTGCGTAAATATAAAGTATAACAGTTTGAGTTCAACATGGGAACATTTAAATGTTGATTTCTTGTGTTACTACATCAACATTTATTTTTATATTATTGTTTTGTTTTATTTACCTAATGGTCACTTCTCTTAACAGTTTGCTGTGTAACTGTTATGAGATGTCTAACTTTTATTATGTTGGTGTACTGTAACTGTTTCACCATATTGTGAGCGTGGCAGCTGTTCTGTAGGTTTCAATCATGTCAAGCGAACTTTGCCGAATTACTGAGTAATTAAATGTCCGTGTTTCAATTGCTGTCTTTCTGGTTTAAGAAATGCTTTATGGAGAGCTTACATTCTTTTAATCTTGTCTCAGGTATCCACTCCTTATTGGAAAAGTTATGTTTCGGCAAGTTGGTTTCAACAAAATCAGTACAGGCTATGCCAAAGTATTTTTTTTGTGATTACATAATTTAACAAAGTTTTACAGGTGTGTGTTCTCCAGTATGTGTTGGTGTTAAATTAGTTTTCTTTTTAGACTACCCACATTTCCCTAAGAAGCTTTTCCATTTGCCAGATCGCTGTAAGTACAATAAGAATTGGGTCTTTATAACTTGCCTGGTTAAATGCTGCCATATTTACCTCTGAAGTTGGATGTCAGAACTGTGAGTGAGGTCACTTCCAAATTGATTGTTTCATTTGTAGTCAGATTTTCTCAGTTTCTAATATAATTTTCAGCTGGAATGCCCCCTCAAGTCTGACTTGCGGTGCATTCCTGAATAAGTTGTAATTCCTGAGTTCTTCGTTGGAAATTGAATTTGGAATACCTATTCAAACACACAGCAACTGCCAAGTTAACAATCCATGGCAGTCCTTAACGTGTACAGTAGTAAAACTTTTCATATGTGCTACTAGTATTGTCTTTGTGACTCACTAATCCTGCAAATGTCTGTGTCCACGAATACTTTTTGGTCAGACAGAAGGAGGAGATGAGATTTCCCCCACCCGAAATGCACTCCCATGCACGTTCTAGGATCCTGACTGGGTGTCACTAGAATTGAATGATGTAAGCAATTGTCCAATGTTGATTGGCTGACAGGTGGGCCAAAATGAAAAAGGGAGCAATAGTGGAGTTTACTGGGAACAGGGAAACTGTGAAAGAAACTTCGTGGATGAAAAATTAATGCATGAAAAGCACAGACAGTGGCTGCAGTGGACACATTTCATTTTTCATAACACTTGGTCTTGCTTGAGCTCTTTGAATGTTAGAAATTGGCTCTCATCTGGGACTGGCTGATGGCCACTACCAACAACACAAGCAAGAGTGGCCTACAGACTGCTTGTAGCCCATATTTGTTTATTGCCATGATTTATTGGAAGTGATACTTAAATGGCTCTACATAGCTAAGAACCAAACCAAATCCTGTGTTTCCTTGCTTTTTCCGGAGCATGGAGTGGAACATAGGAGCGTCCTGAGTCCCGAAATCAAAGTTTTGATGGTGGCTGATGTTGAGCAAGGCAGCAAATGCTACCAGGTCTTCCCATTTGTAACATTAATACAGTGTTAATTCAACAGGATAACAGTAATTTGTGTCTAACAGTCTACCAACAACTAGACATAAATAGCAGCAGCCTACCTTACCAACTCTATTTGACCAGCAATGAAAATATGGTGTTAGCTCACCATAAGCACAGCACTAGGGCTGGGCGATATGGCCTAAAATTCATATCGC